AGATAAAGGAAGGATAGTCATCTTCCAGAGAACAAGAACTAAGCTAAACAAACGGTTCATTTCCCAGCCATTTGGAGAAGACGAACTAGAAATTAAGACACTGCTGCCAGAATAAACAATGGTCTTTAAAAGCCAGAGTTAAAAGCTGCAAGCAAAGATGACCCAAGATGCAGGTATAAACTGGCAGATCTTTCTCTGTGTGGACACTTACCACATCTGTTCCTTACCATCACCAACTTCTTCAACAGCAGGAAGGAAGACTGATACACAGAAACATCCTAAATCTCACAATGCCATGTGAAATAAAACAAGCTGGCTATAAATCTAAAGATACAATACAATTTAAGTTACATTGTAAAATTATATGTAGAATAAGATTTTTGGGGTCTTTTTTGTTTTGGGTTTGGGGTTTTGTTTTTATTCTGTTTTCTTTTTTTATCTTTTTGAGACAGGGTGTCCCTCTAACCTCAGCTGACCTGGAACTCGCTATGTAGACCAGGCTGGCCTCAATCTCACAGAGATCTGCCTGCCTCTGCCTCTGCCTCCACCTCCCAAGTTCTGGGATTAAAGGCATGTGCCACCATGCCTTGAGACAGGGTCTCCCTATAGCACCAGCTGGCTTGGAACTTGCTATGTAGACCAGACTGGCTTTGATCTTACAGAGATCCACTTCCTTAGTGCTGGAATTAAGAGACTAAAATTCTTCAAGGAACCCTGTTCAACTCCACAATAAACCCCCAAGCATAACCCCTAGTCACACTTCTAACTAGTCAAAATAAAAATGAATCTAATGCAGCTATACATGTACACTCATAAGTGGAATCTTACAAGCATTAAATAGCAATAAATGGTTGGACCCACTCAGACATACTAGAGTGTCACTAGGCTCCAAGTTCACATCCTTTCCAGCTTTCCAGGGCTCCTTCCTCCTGGGGAGAACTAGAGCATTCCTGATTGTTTCAGAAGGAATAGCAGTGGGGGTACAGTCAGCTCCACATAGAAGTACCCACAGAGGGACAGGACAAAAGCTGCAGAGTCCAGCAAGGCCTCCCTCAGCTGCCAGAGTTCCATTCAGCTTTGGCAACATTACTTTTTTTTTCATCCACACATCACCTATTTCTACTTTTCGCTGTAGTTTCATTGCTAGTTATTTCAGACATGACTGAACACTGGAATAAATAACTTGGTTTTGGCAGATTTACAGATGTTGTTTTTCTTTTCATCACATCCTTTTTCATCACCAAAGAGTACCGCTGCTTTCGAGGCCCAGAACAGGAAAAGCTGTTTATAAAAGAACACTGACCCTGGTCTCAGTGTCTGTCTCGGGCAGTCCCAGTGTTTCTGGCTTCATCAGGTCCCACACTCTGCACCATGTATACCACTCAAACACAGGATCTCCTGTTTCAACATGTAGTCTATGAGTGCACCCAGGGAGAAGCATCCTCAGCTCCTCTGCCCTTCTCCCAAAAGATCACGGAGAAAGAGACATACATGAGCGGGGACACTGTCCCAACCAAATGGCTAAGAAGCACCCTAAAACCTTAGAAAAAATTATCAAGATTCTTCAACCTAACACCCAGAATGTTAATGCCGAAACCAAAGGCTTCTTCACAGAGAATACAGCCATCTCCTGTGACAACCTCCACAGTCTGGGGACAGCTAAAGACAAGAAAAGCTTTCCTAAATCATCTTTAAAATACTAGTAACATTCAATACAGCGTTGGGAATCTCAGCTAGAATATATGACAAGAGAACAAAGGGGATACAAAGGAAAAGAACTCAAAAGACCCTGCACATAATATGAAGCTTATAGAAGAGACCCTAAAGACTCCACCAGAAAACTCTTAGAACTGATCAACACTTTCAATAAAATGGCAGGACACAAAATTAACACACAAAAGTCAGCAGTCCTTCTATATACCAACAAACATATTAGGCAAACAATCCTATTTATAATAGCATCAAAAAGATAATAAGAGTCACTAGGTATGATTCAAGTAAATGAAGAAATAGGCTTTCAACAAGTCAAAGTAAAAGGCAGAATATTAAAAGGTTCAAAGAGAAAGGGACACACTTGTTCACACTATCTCCTCTCAAACCAATGTGCGTTTCTGGAAGGGTAAGACAGTATCTTAAGTGGCCATCCCCATCCACTGGGCTATTAAGAGCCTTCTCTGAGCCAGAACTCCATGACAGAGGCTGGCAAAGCCTTCTGAAGCTCAGAATACTTTGCACAAGTACCTGTAGAGCCAGAAGAAATGGAGAAGGGCAGAGCAGGCCACCGGAGCAGTTCTTAGTTCTTTTTCTCCAACTTTATTCTAATAAGCAGTAACCCCCATTCTATTTGTACCGGACAGTGTTCTCAACACTTGCCTTTGCAGATCTTAAATTTCAGTGTGTCTAGCATAGTAAGCAAAGTAAGTAAAAACAGGGAAGGGGATGTGAGTAAGACCATGACTTTAATGTGTGTTGGGTTGTGTGTGGAATATGTAATTGCATGGCTATGTGCATGCATGTGGAGGCCAGAGGTTGACTTGAGGTGTCTTTTTGCAATTCCTCTCCATGTTGTTGTTTTAGATAAGTCTCTCAATGACCCTGAAGCTTACTGAGTCAGTTAGGAAGGCCAGTCAAGGAGATTTAGGAATCCACCTTTGTCCTATACCCTGCTCATTAGCCCTGGGTACAGGCCTGGCTTTCTAAGTGGGTTCTGAGGATCCAAACTCAGGTCTTCAGCTTGCACAGCAGACACATCTCTCCAGCCCCTGGACAATGACTTTAAATAGGGTTCTTAGAAAAGCTCCCCTGAGAAGCTGACAGCTGAACAACAAATGGAAGGAGTGAAAAGGGGCTCTGTGGCTGTGGCTGGGTGGAGGCAGAGTTGGGTGAACAAGTCCAAAAGTCCAGAAGGAGAAATGCCCTTGTATGGTTTGCCCACACTGACTACAGAGGAGTAGGCAATCAGGGATTGGAGAAGATGGGAGTCAGAGGGGTGCTGGGTGTAGGAGAAAAGATCAGGAAAGCTCTTTAAGAAAAATACCAAAGTGAGGAGTGATAGGAGGAACTGAAACAGAAGACCCGAGTCAAATCAAAAGGGTCATGGCTAACCAACTAATCCCTGCAATGACTGAAAGGGGATAATCAGGTCAAAAACTTGGATTCCATCCAAAATTCACATATAAACTTCAGTAGATGAAGAGGTGACATGACCCTAGGGAAAGGGCCAAAGCAGAGGTGTTGAAGGGATGAGACATAGCCATAGAGGTGATGTATCACCCAGAGGACGAAGACACCAATGAGAAACAGATGCAGACAGCAGAGCAGACTAGTGTGAGTTATGTTTGCTGCTCACTGCATGCCAGGGCCACAGTGCCTACCCCAACTCATGGCAGCCACCAGTTTCAGTGAGGCAGCCAGGGTCCACTTAGCCCAAGCCAGGAATACCTGCACCTTCACCCACGATGACACTCCATAACAGTAGATATCTTAAAAGATAACCTGAGGTCTCAGAGAAAAATTACCCTAAGCTTCACCCACCATTTAATAAGGCAGGAAATCTACTACAAAACTGAGAAGGACTCTATTTTTAAAAAAGACGTAAGCTAGCATGGACTTGTCATTCCACACTTGGAAAACTGACGTAGGAGGATCACAAATTTGGAGGCCTGGGTTACATATGGAGATTATCTCAAAAAAAGTTTTAATTAAGCCAGGTATGGTAGTGCACACACCTCTAAGGCAGAGGCAGGAGGATTTCTGTGAGATCAAGGCCAGTCTAGTCTAAAAAGTAAGCAGGCCAACTAAAGGTGGGGGGACACCACAATGTCCAACTTTAAGTGTATTTGAATTAAACATTTGTTTGCTTAGAAGTATCTGTGCATCATGTTTTACTGTGTACAGGTCACTAAGCAGAGCAGACTGGGGCGAGGGGAATCAGAAACAGGAGGCAGAGAATCTAAGGTATTTTTAGTAGTCTACACCTCAAATGTTTTACAAAGACAGAGACAGAGGGAGATAAGAAAAACTAGGAGAAAAGAATCTGACAAGTAAATATAGCTAACAGAAAAAATGACACTGTGTCTCCTGCTGACAACGAGCCCCTGGGAATAGAGATCCTAAGTGACAACTAAAATTATACAAATGGTCAAAATCACTAAAGATTATGCTTGCCCCACTTTACTATGGTATTTCTTTCTCTAGACATCCTATAAATAGGGACAATCAAAGTGGCTCATAACCATCCATAACTCTAGTTCTAGAGGATCCAATGCCCTCTCCTGCTCTCGGTGGGCACTGCATGCACATGGTGCAATTACATACATGCAGATGAAGCACTCATACACATGAAATTAATTTTTTTTTTTTTTTGTCTTTTTGAGACAGGGTTTCCCTGTAGTCCCAGCTGACCTGAACTCACTATGTAGACCAGGCTGGCCTTGAACTCACAACGATCCACCTGCCTCTGCCTCCCAAGTGCTGGGACTAAAGGCATGTGCTACCATGCCCGGCCATAAAAATAATTTTTAAAATGTTAAATAGTAGATAGATCTCTGCCCAAGCCCTGCCCTTCATCCACTGAGCCCTTCCCAGGTCCAAGCCCTGTTCCCTTGGTCCACCCTCATTCATGCTCCTATGTCCAGGAATCACTCACATTCTCTGCAGATAGGCTGCACCACAGCTGCTTCTGCTCAACACCTGCATGTCTCAAAGGGCCCAAGCTATGCCTATCCTCATACCACAGTCCTTTTGTTCCTGTACACCTCTTCACACCTGCTCCTTCCTAGTCCCTATCATATCAAATACATACTAAGGTACAAATCCAGTCACTAAGGCTGACTGAAAAAGGTATCCAATGATGCAGCAGGAGACAGAAAAGAAGACAGTTAACCAAGGTCATAGAACTAGCTTCATGGCCTACCTGAAGGTACAAGCTAGGAAAGCTGCAAGGTGGAAGAAGAAAACAGAGTATGTGGACCCAGCAGGCATGAACCGCCAGCTCTCACCTTTGAGTCGTAGGCTGACTGCTTAATGACCTCAGGTGCCATCCAGAAGGGGGTGCCCACAAAAGTGTTCCTTTTTATCTGGGTATCCGTCAGCTGGCCTGCTACTCCAAAGTCAGCCAGCTTCACCTCCCCATGTTCAGAGAGTAGAACATTGGCCGCTGCAAGACAACCAAGGGAAGACCATGTCATGGCTGCGCTGTTGTGCTGGCGGTCACCTGGGAGCCTGTGCGTGCTCTCCTCAGCCAAGGTGAGGGCACACAAGAACAGGTGCCCCTGTTTCACCAGAAACAGCCAGCCCCAGATCCGGGTGAGTAGAGGGTACAGGATGGTGTCCAGTGGGCACAGAAGCACTGCCGGTTCTGCCACCTTGGTGTCTCAAAGAAATGAAAACAAGAGCTGTTGTTACCTTTGATATCTCTGTGGATTTTCTTCTCTGAATGGAGATAATCAAGGCCTTTCAGGATTTCTCTTAATATGGTAGCGATCTGAGTTTCGTCTAAGGGGCCAGGCTCTAACTAACAAGAAAAAAAAAAAGAACATTAGCCACTTCGTGGTTGCCTTACATAGACTTTAAGAGACAAGAACAATTAAAATCAAAAGGCATCTTCATTTATCAAAGACATTGTGCCTAAACAATTAAAATCATTAAAGGATGGGGGGAACATCGCTGAGGGGGGAGAGCAGGGTGGATGGGTAACTTTGCTGAATAAAGCAAGGCCACTGTGAATCAGTGGGACAATGTTTGAAAAGCCCATTGGCTATACCTGCAGCCTGCAAGCTGACCTGTGAGGGTCAATCTCCATCACCAAAAGCACAAATTTGGAGAAAGAAGTCTGAAAGCTGCTTCCCAAGTCTACCATTAGAACTGTTTAGATCTGCATTTTAAATATCCCTAAATTGGGGAAAATGCAGCTCAAAGACTTCAATTCTTTTTTTTTATCAAATTATGTGTACTATGTGTGCAATGCTTATGGAGGTCAGAAGAGGGTATCAGATCTCCTGAAACCGGAGATATGAACAGTTCTGAGCAGCCATGTGGGTGCTGAAAACCAAACCTGGGTTCTCTGCAAGAGTAGTCAGTGCCCTTAACTGCTGAACCACTTCTTCAGTCCCAAGAGCTCAATTCTTAAAACTTTAGCATTTGTTTCATAATACATATATGAGAAATTACTTTTTATTATTACTATTAGCCCTAATGAGGTAATAATTGTTTCTGAGAAACTCAAAGGAGTTGTTACTATTAACTTAATATCAATTCTTACATAAAATTATAAGAAAGAAATGTGACTTTATCCCTGTTAAAAAAGAAATGTTAGACAAGACAAAGAGCTCCATTCACTCCAGATAGCAGTACATCCACCATCACTTACAAGACTTTTTCACATAAATTCTATCAGTCAAACAACCCAACATTCCTGAAAAGCCTAAGAACAGAGCTTTTAGAAGGTATGTCTAATAAGTGGAGTAAGGTTTTTCTAATCCCTGGTCCTCTGTGTTATGCTTTTTTGATCAAACAGTACAACCCAAGCTCACACACCTTAATCAATATCAAGACACAGTCCTGTGGTGTCCACTAAATTTTTAAAAGATAAATGTGTTCCCAGGTATACTGGCTCATGCCTCTAATCCTGGCACATGGAAGGCTGTGGCAATAGGATTGCCACAAGTTCTAGACCAACCTGGGCTACATAATTTAAAAAAACCAAACCACCAGGGCTGGAGAGATGGCTCAGTGGTTAAGAACACTGTTCTTGTAGAAGACCCAGGTTCACATCCCAGCACCCACATGGCAGCTTACAACTGTCTATAACTCCAGTTCCAGAGGATCCCACAGCCTCTTTTGTCCTCCGCAGGCATTGCACGACATGGGTGCACTTACCTACATGCAGGCAATACACGCATACACATAAAATAAAAATAATAAAATATAAAAAAAAAAGAGCCACCAGTGTGCCCTATACCAAGAGAAATGAAAACTGAGGTGTCCTCACAGATCTCAAGCCTTCACTGTGTGTATAGCATCCCAAAGGGGCTTTGTGGGGCCAAGTAGGAGAAGTGAGGCCCTTGGTCACTTAGACTACAGCCCAGATCATGCCTGGTGCAGCTTTCTGATTCATCTCAGAGGCCTGCCCTGGTCTATCCTATGAAGGCCAAGGTCAGGGCCCTTTCTCAGGGGCTGCCTCTCCTCACACTTAGGCCTACCTGGCTTTCTCCATTCACATCAGAACAGAACATGGTGGAGACTTGCAGTTAATCATATGATTACATGTACAGAGAAAACCAAACTGAGTGTGTCCACTGGTCTGCTGGGGAATTATTGCCAATTCTAGTCAATACACTGTCCTCAGATTAGAAAAACATGGTGCACACTGCTCCACAGAGTATAATTTTTTCCAGTCATTTGACCAAAAGTCTCTTTTTTTTTCGAGAAACATATTCAAACCACTGTTCCAAAAACCACAGTCTGGAACGTCCTGATATGTAACAAGCCTGCTTTCTCCACGTCTATTTTTCGGTGTTCACAGAATGTACCAGTTTTAACTCTCAAAATGAGGAAAACACATCGTTCCAGTCCCTTGAGAGAAAAAAGGCAAACAGAGATGCTGGCATCTTAGGTCCTATCCTCAGTACAAGAATAACAGGAGGAGAATCCAGTAACAATCTGGGTCTACACCAAGCTCTCACTAAGCTGACGGACACACTGGATTTATCCAGTATCTCCTATTATTGACTCCCTAGACAGAGACCCAGAATGGCCTGGCATCAGTACCCAGGGAGATCAGCAAAGCAGCTGAAAACAACTGACAATCTCCCCCCGTATGACATTAGGATTTGGCTCCACGCTGTGACTGGCAGTGTCCTCTTAAATATGACCAAAGAGCTGAGATATAGTCCAGCAGCAGAGCATTTGCCTATCACGCACAAGGACCTAGGTTCAGTACCCAGTACCACTAGGGCATACGTAAATAAAATGATAGTAACTAAAGCTGGTTTGAACTCCACTCACTACTGGTTTACATGTCCATAAGGAGGCAAAGAGGTAGAGGGTAAGGAAACACATTGTTTATGTGGGGGGTTAAAATCCTTGGTGTCCTTGATAGCCAATTTTAGGTGGCGGCTTGACAGGGCTAAGGAATACTCAAATAGTAAAGAGGACATTTCCACAAGAAACTGACATTTACAATGGACAAAAGGAGACCCACCCTCACCCAATGTGGGCAGGCACCTGCCAATTTTCTGAGGGCCTACACGAAACAAATATGCAGCAAAAAGGCAAATTTTTTCTCTCTTCTGGGACCAGAACATCCTGCTCTGGCCTTTGAACTCAGGGACTTGCACAAATTGCCCATGAGTACTGTGGCCTTTTGGCTCAACTGAGTCTGGTACTCCAGTTTGCTGACAGCCTCCATGACTACATAAGCAATTCTCCTAGTAAGCCCCCTCTCCTCCACCCAACCCCATTGGTTTTCCCTCTCTAGAGAACCATGATGAATGAAATATCAAACTCACTATAAAAGGCAGTGGTCTGTATACTAATTTAATATAAGGCAGTGGTCTTTGAGTCACCCACTAACATCCTCCACAGTTACAATGTCTGGGTAGGATATAAGGGGACTGTATCATTAAGAGGACTGTCAACTTTTCTTAAATTTTACTTATTTTTATGTGTATGAATGTCTAGCCTGCATGTATATAAGTGCACCACGTGCACACAGTGCCTGTGGAAGCCAGAAGATAGCATCAGATCCCTTGAACTGGAATCACTGATGACTGTTAACTGCCAGGTGGGTCCTGGGAACTGAACCTGCCTGGGTCCTCTGGAAGAGCAATCAGTGCTCTTAACCACAAAGTCATCTCTCCAGTCCCAACTACTAACTTTTAAAGAAAGAATTTGTAAATAAAAGCTGATGGGGGAATGGACTATATCCTATCTACAAGCGACTTCTTTTTAAAATATTTTATTTATTAATTTTATTTTATGTGTATAAGTGCATTTATGTTGTGTAAGTCCGCAGAGGTCAGAAGAGGGCATCAGAGTCCCTGGAGCTAGAGTTACAGACGATTATTAGTCACCATGAAGGTGCGGGAACCAAACCAGGGTCCTCTGCAAGAGTAACCAGTGCTCTTCACTACTGAACCATCTCTCTAGTCCTACAAGTGACTTCTAATTCCCCCTACACACACACACCTCCCTTCATCCTCTGCCACACTGACCATCAGCAGGGCACACGGTCACTCAACTGGAGCATACATTCCCAGGTTCTACAGAGCATTGTATGGCCCTGTGACTCCATCTCATTCTCATGGTGGAACATGAGCAGATGTGACACATGCCCCTTCCCTAGTCTTGGCTTGAAATACTGGCAGCTGGAGAAGACCATAGAAAGAAAGCCCTGACTTCATGTATGGGAGAGATCAATTTCTATCCTGTGAGAGATTCTGTTTTAGAGTGCCAACAAGAGCAGCTTGCCCTAAATATGCCATCTTGTTTTTTTCAAAACCATGTTGTGTGTTCATTTTTAAGTTTGTCAAACATCTCTGCCTGATTAACCGAGACATTTACACAGCAAAGTTCCTTCATAATTAGATTCCAAGGCTGACCCTTAGACTCTCTAACAGCAGTGACTGATCTTTTAATCAGCTAAAACCTTTCCTTCTCAGGGTCTCTAGCTAACCCTTATCCAATTACCCAATTCTCTCCACCTGCTTTCTTTGTCCAACACATCTTCTAACTTGCTCCACAACAGCAAGATGTTCTACTTTGTGTACTGCAGGACCTTCAAGGGCAAGAGTGGCACTGACTGGGCTACGAGAATCTACAAAGAGCAAGCCTAAACTGCATGATAGAAATCATGCTCCTCAATTGTGGCACCCTGGATGCCTCTGTACTTGTGTCAGAGATTACTGACACAAAGGGATTCCAGACCGAGTGCTAAAGAACTCAAAGGGGGGGGGTCCTGGAAATATTTATTATTTAGATCTTATCCAAAATTACAAAAAAAGAAATCAACAAATTGAGTGCATTAGTGCTAAAGAACTCAAAGGGGGGGGGGGGTCCTGGAAATATTTATTATTTAGATCTTATCCAAAATTACAAAAAAGAAATCAACAAATTGAGTGCATTCAATTATGTCTATTCAAAATGAAATATATGCCTGTTTTTTAGCCATAGCTCTTAATAACCAAGCTATGCTATCTCTTTAGCTCTTCACACTAGATCCCAAATTTGTTTTCTTTCTTTAGTAAAATTGGATGCAGCACCAGGATGCAGTCACCTTTCCCCTCATAGGTCCTCCAGAGTCACATTAACTGTTAGCTCCACATTAATTAACAGAAATAATAAATAAAAGCAACTTTGAATTTTTCAAAGAAATGGCCTTCAAATTCATTTATTCAGCTACACAGTATCATATTCTGAATCATGACAATAGTCTGGCTTTTTAATTTTCCATAAAAATGTGTAAGAGAGCCTCTCAAAATAATCCTAATTGTTTTCGACATTCAAAGTATAATTACCATAACCTACACTGAAGTATGTTCTCCTGTTTTGAGGGTTTGAAGAAAGTCAACAGAAATGGGGTAAAAGATGGAGAGACAATCAAGCTGGAAGCAGAAAAGAACAGTGTGGGGTCAAAGACAACCAACAGGCTCCAGGACAAGTAGGTTGGGGTCCACAAAGTCCATAGTCCAACTCCACCTGGGAGCTGGCACACCTGACCCGAGTGACCCCCCTCCACACTCATTCTCAGGAAGGACCAAGTAGCTCTGAAATAGAACGCCATTTCTCTCTGTCAAGGGCATTCACATAGATGGTAGCCTTCTGAGACTCTCACACCACACCACATGGGAACTTTAAGGAGATATTTCTGCATTTTCTTCCAACTTTGATTTCCAAAACTGAAGACATCAAGTAAATTAAATTATTGTAGCACTGTGAATGAACACACTGAAGCATTTAGAGACTAGCAATGCTACTCTAAAGGACTCTGTCAGGAAGAGAGTCCCCGTGAACAAGACCGAATGTGTCACAGATGAAGTTCACTTTGAATAATGGTCATCTAGTTGCACAAAAGGAGGTAATTTTCTACATTCCTGTAGTAGTTCCCCAAAGAAAAAAAATAGTTTTTTGTGTAATGTAGATACTTAGAGACAGGACCATAGAATATATTCAGCTGGTTTCTCATTTTAATCTCACAGCTTAGCCTTATACTGTATTAATTTTTTTCATTGAAATCTCCTTTTGAAAACTATTTTAAATGTTTTTTGCTTATAACATGCAATTTTCTAAATTAGTATATTAGCTTTTAGAAAATTAAAGATTTTGAGAATTTTACCTTCCCCTACAACTACCTAGTGCTTTTGTTACTGTGAGAAACAAACTGCTCTCAAAGGGGAAGTCCTGTTCCTAATAAAGCCCGTGCAGGCTTTAATACAAACAACAGGCTTCCTTCAGCTTACTATCCTCTGGACAACCTCAACCAGGCAAGATCCACCTCTAACACTAAAATGAAGTTTATCTAGGGGATCACTACTCACTTATAAACCTGGCAAGTACAGGGGTCAGCGAGGTACAACTGCATTAACTTTGCCGTGAGCATGCCTACATGCATTGTATGTACATGTTCAACTAAGTATGTGAACATACAGGCATAGGGTGACAGAGTGTGTCCTCCTTCTCCACCTTAATTTTTGATGCCCAGTCTCTCTAAGAACCCGGAGCTCACTGGATTGGCAAGCCTGGCTGATCTGTGAGCTCCAGGGATCTGCCTGTGTCTGCCTCCCCAGCACTGGGATTACAGATTTTTCTTTTTTTTTCTTTTTGGGGGGGTGGTCTTTTTGAGTCACAGCTGGCCTGAAACACTATGTAGACCAGGCCTTGAACTCAAAGAGATCTTCTGGGATTAAAGATGTGCACATTTTTCATGAGTGCTTGAGATCCAAATTCAGGACCTCAGGCTTGCATGGCAAGCAGGTTAACAACTGAGTCATCTCCCAGCCCCCAACTGCATTAATTTTTATGCATGCCTACAATGGAGATCAGGCTGAACAGTGTTTCAAAAATGATATAAACCATACTTACAGGGCTTGGCTGTGTGTGGGCTCTCCACAAACGCTAACATAAAGTCACGTGTACATGAAAGCCAAGCACCTCTTCCTAACTTCCAGTGCCATAATTGTGGGCTATCACCAGGAAAGGCACTAGATGGCAAGTCCAGAGACAGAGACAACACTGGGCTGGGCCTGCTCCATTCTGATGCACCATGGGCATTGGCAAGAGGCAATGTTAGCAACACCTTGCCTGACCACTGTTCCAACACCTAATACCATACCTCAATAATCATAGCCTATCTCTGACTTTGGATGAAAGCATGATGAACTTATGTGGAGAACTGTTACCAACTGAACTATAAAACCATGATGGCTATTATCAACTCTATAAAAGCTAATCAACTTGTTCTGGAAAATAAACTGACCAACTGTTTTTAGGTAGGATAATTCCAGGCAAAAACCTTCATTGTTGCAATGAATTAATTCATTGGTTTACAATAAAACAATAACAAAATGCTTTCAAAAGCAGACCTATGGGGCTGGAGATACAGTTCAACAGTTAAGAGCACTGGCTGCTCTTGCAGAGTACCAGCACTCACATGGCAACTAAAAACCATCTGTAACTCCAGTTCCAGGATCTGATGCCCTCTTTTGGCCTCCATGGGCTCACACGCAGGCGAAACACTCATATACATAAAATAAATACATCAAAAAACTTTAAAGCAGATCTATAATTTTAAGTACTATATAAAAACACAGGGCTGAAGAGATGGCTCAGTGGTTAAAAGTCCTGGTTGCTCTTGCTGCAAAGGACCTGGGTTCAATTCCCGGAACCCACTTGGCGGCTGATAACTACTGGTAACTCCAGTTCTGAGGGAATCCAATGCCCTCTTCTGACCTCCTTGGGCACTGTACAACAGAGGTACACTTACACACATGCAGGCAATACAGTCATACACATAAAATATTTTTTTAAAAAGAAACAACACACAGAGGAATAGTTTGGTTCCTTTTTCATGCCACCTTGAAAAGGAAGAAATGAAATGGATAGAGAATTAGTGTTCAAACCAAGACTGCATGAGAAAAGGCTTGGGTGCATGCTACAGGCAATACTTACTAGATCCAGGGCAGAGCCTCCACCAAGATATTCCATTATTATCCACAATTTAGTATCCTACATAAAACAGAAACAAAAAAGGACAGAGTTAGTTTTAAAGCAAAACCAGAAAAATTATTTAAGCAACCAGAAAGAGAATTTTGCTATTATTTTGGACCTAGAAAGTTTTATAAACACATTAGCACAAATGTGGGTCGAGATGATGACTGCACAGCAAATCACCAGGTATACAAAACCTTCCTGCGGTCTCTCAGAAGGTAGAGCTGACCCAGGGCTCCTGCTGCAGACTCTGCTAGCGAGTGTTCTCCACACCCGTGGACCAGAATCTCAGAGAGGCTAAAGCTGGACTGAGGGCTTTTTAATCCATTCAGTGGGTACATCTCAGCATGAGAATCAGAAGCCAAGCACACATAAGAGTACACACAGGCAGGAAACAGGATGCCTCCCATCCCTCACCGCAGCTTGGAGCAGCCCAGGTTCTCAAGGCCTCAGTGAGCAAAAAAGGAGGCTCTGCAGTGACCCTCAGCATGTAAGACCTGAGGCAGCCTGGGATCCACTCCTGTAGAAAGGCAACCAGCGCCCCCACAAGTCACTGAACACGCTCCTTTCAAAAAAGCAGTCCCAGTCTCACACTTCCCGTGCCCTGCTTCACCAATGTGTGACTCTTGTCTTCTTCCAGGGTCTCTCTTGAAGCTACTTAGTCCTCATATTTTCCCGAGTTCTCTAAGTAAGCAATTTGAACATGTACAGGTTGTGGTATCCAAAGGAGTCCTAGAATCAATCCCCCAAGGATTGTGAGGAACGACTGTACATAAATCAACAGGCTGCATTACTTTTGGGGGCTAAAGAGACGGCTCAGCAGTTAAGAGCACTGGTTGCTTTTGCAGAGAACCCAGGTTTGGTTTCCAACACCCAGAACATGGCAACTACCAACCATTCATAACTCCAGTTCCAGGAGTTCGACGCCCTCTTCTGGCCTCCACAGGCATTGCACACACATGTGGCACATACATACAAGCAAAACACTCACATACATAAAATAAAAATATTTAAAGCTAGTTATGGAAGCTTTTGTATTTGCTGGAAGAAGAAGAAGAAGAAGAAAAAATAAAGGATCCTTTCTGGAGCTCTGTCATCTTTCCAGGACAGCACTCCACTTTGGCTCTTAAGAGGCACTACTGAGGTCCCCCCCCCCCCCAAGTGGTTCTGTTCACTCACAGGTAAGGACTGAGCTTGTCTGGAATGGACAAATTTCAGTGCTTTTTGCTTTTATTGTTCAAGTCAGGAAAATTCACCTGCCTTCTCTCTCCTTGCAAATGTATGAATTACCAGCTGTATATGTATTTTCAACAATAAGGCAGACTAAAGTGCCAGGCACACTGAGGCACAGACAGGTGATTGTGGTCCTTGGTACACAAGGAAAGGTAGTATGTTGACTGCATGTTCATATAGGGAGGCACTGATGCACAAACTACATTAAAGAAAGATGGTCCTTTTAAAATTTAAAGCAAATTTTGCCATCTGGAGTTAATTCTAAGTCCAGATGACTAGTCCTTTAATGTATATAGAATGCTTTCTCAAGCTTTTAATGTGCTGGATTACTAACAGAATGAAGGCAAATCCAGGCTGGCTGGGGAGAGGCACTGAGCCTCAGAGCGTGTGTTTGCCTCTACAACATAGAAAACAAACAAGCTGTTCATTCAACAGCCAATAATGGGTACTTGAAGAAGGACCTGGGTCAGACTCCAGAAAACTTCAGAGGTAGAGAGGGATGAATAAGGACAATGAATAATAGGAAAATGTCATAACGAAACTCATTATACTCTGTGCTAACTTGGAAGAAGGGGAGAAGGACAAGGCAATGGTAGCACTGAGCATGGTGGCTGATGCCTGTAATCTCAACACTTGGAAAGCTGAGGCAGTGAGTTGAAGGCCAGCCTGGGCTACATATTAAGCCCTAGGCCAGCCTGTCTCAAACAAAAACAGCAAGAATCCCCACTCCACTGCTTACCCCCCAACTCCTCCCCATTCCCATCATACATGAAGAAGGCTCTACCACCTGCCTTCTTTCCCAAACACGCTTGCAGAGTCCCCTCACACTGCCGGTATTGCTCCTTCTAGGCATTCCCACACATCCTGGCTGAGAGCTAGAAACAAACTATCCCAGTGAGGACAGTTTCTCTCTGGATGACACAGAAATCTACACTCTGTTTCTCTAAGAAGACACGGGACCTTCACTTTCAACCCCCACTCCCTTTGGTTTGGCTTGTTTGACTCAGCTCCCATCCATGAGTTTTTAGTTTGGTAACATCAAGATAAGCTCTGAGTAGGGAGAGAATGTCCTGGCAGCCTTACTCTCCCATATACCACCACCACCTTGCTGTGCAAAGACACCAAAGGAAGCAATCTCTGGTATCAACCACACTGTTTCCTGAAACCATAAAGCACAGTTGACCACCCCCTTGTCCAACATCAGACACTGCAAAGCTCCACCCTCAGACAAGTCACTACAGCTCTCTCTTCCTAAATCTACCAATCATGAGGGAACTACCTACCAAGGAAACAAAAACACTCAACTGACAGACTCATCTTTGGCTATGCCGTCCTGACACCAACAGTGGGTCTATACTCAACAGCAAAGCTCTGCAGCTCAAAGGTCAAAGTTCCACACTCTCAAGACACAGTCTCCCTCCTTCCTGGGGAGGAAGACTGTGCAGAAAGGTCAGCCCTACCCATTTCTGCCCTCCTGGTACATGTTGGGTGAGGCATTACCAAACAAAGCCCACCAGGTAAGAGGGCATGAAGAAACACCTTAAGGCCTTATTCAGGTCACAACTTCTAAAGACCTTGATGAGGTCCTATGACCAATGCACCAGTGTATCTCTGACCTGACTCCCAACAGCACCAACAACTGGGGCATGGAAATCACACTGTGGAAAGTCCTGGTCTGGGCTGAACTGTCTTGGTAACCAGTAGGTAAGCAACTGTTGCAGTCACTCACAGTCACCCTGGAAGGTCTCTGCATGGCCTCCATCACTACCTCTAGGTCCCGGGGTGCTCTTACCAATCCTCAAAGTCCCACAATTCCCAAGCATTAAAGGAAAAGGGCAACTAGCAATCAACGAGGAGGGAAGAGTGTATGTAAAGAGCCAGGGTGAACAGGCACCTAAAAGCAAGCGATGGGAGAAGCCTTCAAGGCAGCCAGAGAGGGGCGTCCATGTGCTCACTCTCCCTCCTGCCTCATGTCTCCCACCAGCAAACAACCACGAAGCTCTCTCTTGTCCACTCCCACCAACTACTGCACTACTATGAGTTGCACCCAGCTTCCTCTGTCTCCCCAGGCTCTGCTGTATCGGTTCTGCTGTGTTCCTTCCCTGCCTGACCAGGAGTATTCAAAAGCTAAAATTCAGCTGTTGGTGTCTCTTTCCTACTGAAGGTGACAGGAGCTAGTAAGTCTGGTCAACTGGATGAGGGCTGAGATGCTGTGGAAGTTAGGAAAAGGAGAGAAGAACTTCCATGGGAGCCTGACAAGCTATTCAGTACATGGTTCAAAACTCATGGTCCCAAGAACAATCCTGGCTCAACTCAGAGGGTCTCCAAAAACTGACACGAATGTGGGAAAGGGATTTGTGGAGAGGAGGGGAGTAACAAGGGTAGAAAGGAGACTAGAGAGGGTGAGGTGTTACAGTAATCAGGAATGCACCATACATATATGAAACTCAGAAAGAATAAATTCAGTGACAGCTATAATTTTTTTTTAATTGGGCATGAACACTGGGCTAGTGTGGTGGCACACATATTTAATCCCAGACCTTTGGAGGCAAAAGAAAGTGGATCTCTGGCAAGATAGAGGCCAGCCTGGTCCATATAGTGACTTCCAGGCAGGCTGGGACTAGGGAGGTCCATTAGAAAAAAAAAAAAAAATCGGCCATGAATGAGAATCCTATCTTAAACCCCCTAGTACAGGCAGCTAACCATCACTGCATACTCCTGTAGCCTGTTTCCCATAGGCCTGCCATACCCATTCTCAACACCAACACTCGGGGGGGGGGGGGGCTGAACTGGCCATCTGCTATGATCCTGTATCACTGACTTCTACCAACAACTTTCAAACAAGAACCCATCAAAAGGGATACACTTGTCCCTCAGTATCTGTGAATTCGAAGATTCCGGCTAATAGAAGAATCTTTGGTTGTTCAAATGCTACTGTAAAATGGCCTATCTGCATATAACCTATGTACAACCTCCCACATACTTTCTACTATCTCTAGGTCACTAACACCACCCACTGCAATGTAAACACTATGGAAGTAGGCGTCATGACTATAGTGTTTAGGGAAGAATGAATGACAAGAAAATGTCTGTACACAATCAATACAAGCATACAACATATGCCCCAAAGAAGTTTCCATTCGTAGTTGATGATTGAACCTGCAGATGCAGAAAGCTAATTGGAAAATCCCTTCTCCTCAGGACAAGGAGGACCACTGCACACTCAAACTGTAGCTGGAAGACTGTGGCTAATTCACCAGAGACATTAGGCAAGTTGCTTAAACCCTCTGAGCTTCAAATTCCATATCCTCTGCCAGGTGTGGGGGCTCACACCAGAAATCACAGCACTCGGGGCTGAGGCAGGAGGACTACTATGGGGTTCAAGGCCAGCCTGGGCTATATGAGTTCCAGGTGGGCCTGGGATATAAAGTAAGTCTCACTCCTCTCGCCCCATCTCCCTCCCCCTCCCTCCCTCACACACACATACAACTTAGTACTTCAAATCTCACAGTTCAAGTGGCAAATAAAGAAATAATGAAGTGAAAGTGCTTTGTGAAGTTCAAGGTACTGAACAAATGCCAAATTTCATGAGCTTTAACATCATCTCTCATAAATGCCTCCAAATAACCTGGTGAAACCAAACTGATCTAATTAACAAGGTCAGTCAATGAAACCTGGAAATGACTCAGGTACATTCTGCATACAAAACCCCAAGGCAAGTTCTGAAAGAGACAGTGAGGCCATCTCCAGGGAGGACCACACATTGGCACTGTCCAGTTTAAGAA